TCCAAAACAATACAGAGAAACCCTGTCTCGTAAAAAAAAAAAAAAAAAAAAAAAAAAAGAATGAGTACTTGTACTTGGGGAGGACCCAGTTTGATTCCCAGCTTCCACATGATGGCTCACAACTGCTCTAAGTCCAGTTCCAGGGGATCCAATGCAATCTTCATACCTAGACCTCAAAAGCAGACCAGTCAGGCTTATCTGTGGTGGGTATACATGCATGCAAGCAAAACACTCATATATGCATAAATTTAAATATCCTTTTTTTTTTCCGAGACAAGGTTTCTCTGTGGCTTTGGAGGCTGTCCTGGAACTAGCTCTTGTAGACCAGGCTGGTCTCGAACTCACAGAGATCTGCCTGCCTCTGCTTCCCGAGTGCTGGGATTAAAGGCATGCGCCATCAACGCCCGGCTTAAATATCTTTTTAAAAGGAATTAACTATTACCTGTCCAGCCAACAGCTTGCTGTGATGATGCATGCCTGTGTCCTAGTGTTTAGTGGGCCTAGGCAGGAGGATTGCAGGGGCTTCCTGGCTATAGAGAGACACTGTCGCAAGAAACAGCCAAAAACAAATACAAGCCAGCCAGCCAATGCTGCCTCACTGTCATCCTAGTGCTGGGGAGGTGGAGGCAGGAGCATCAACATCAAGGCCATCCTTGCGTACTTAAAGAGTTAGAGGCCAGCCTGGGCTACATGAGACACTGAAGACTGAGGCTGCTCCACCCTGACTCCCAGCCCACAGTTCCCTTTGGGTTACAGTTTCACAGTTTAAAAATCTGTGACTGATATTTAAACAAGGTGGGGGGATTGCTAATTCTGCATCCCAGCTCCCAGCCTCTCATAAAACCACTGGCTTGGTAACGTGGGGCCTGCACATCCCCATGGCAACAGCAGTGGGAATGCTTCCTGAGCCCATTGGCAACACAATGCATGAATAAATTCACCCTCTGGAATCTTCCATCAGCTCGCACCATCAGCATCTACGTGTGCTTGTGAATATGGAGGCCAACAGTACTTCCCAGTGGTGTTCCTCCACCTTAGTTTCTTTTTGGTTTTGTTTTGTTAGGTTAAATCTTTTTTTTTTTTTTAATGTGTGTATGAACCATCCCAGAACTCAGGAGGCAGAGGCAGGCGGATCTCTAAGATAGAGTCCAGTCTGGTGTACAAATCCAGTTTCAGGACAGCCAGGGCTACACAGAGAAACCCTGTGTCGAAAAACAAAACAAATGTATGCGTGTTTTGCCTGGGTGAGTTTATGTGCACCGTATACACACAGAAGCCTGTAGGGCCAGAAGAGGGCGTCAGATCCCCTGAAACGAGTTACAGGTGGTTGTGAACCATGTAGGTGCTGGGAACTGAACTAAAGAGGAGTCAGTGCTCTTAACAGCTGAGTCCTCCTCAGGCCTAAAGTTTTGCTTTTTTGGTATTTTTATTTATATTTCATGTATGAATGCAAGTATACCTGCAGGCCAGAAAAGGGCATCCCATCCTATGACAGATGGCTGGGAGCCACCATGTGGTTGCTGGGAATTGAACTCGATCTCTGGAAGAGCAATCGGTGTTCTTAACCACTGAGCCATCTCTACAGTCCATGTTTTTGTTTGTTTGTTTGTTTGTTTGTTTGTTTGAGACAGCTGAACTCTACATGTAGCTTGGGCTGGCCTGGAAATCATAATCTTCCTACCTTACAGGCTCCCAGTGCTGAGGTCACAGGCCTGTGCCTCTGTGCGGCCTTCTAACCCTTTCTGCACATATGCGGGCTGGGGGAGCGGGGCAGAGGGCTCGCCCAGCTGCTGCCCTGGGTTCCACCCTCTGCACATAAACCAGGTGTGGTAGCACAGGCCTGCCATTCCATACTGACACCCCAAAGGCAGAGGCAGGAAGGTTAGGACTTCAAGGTCAGCCTGTCCTACTTAAGAGTTTGAGACTAGCCTAGGCTATGAGAGCAGAAGGAAGGAAGGAAGGAAGGAAGGAAGGAAGGAAGGAAGGAAGGAAGGAAGGAAGGAAGGAAGGAAGCCAGGCCTGCCTCCCAGCCTCAGGTCCCACCTCATCATCCGCTAGGGCTTTTAAGGGGAGTGGAGCCGGGCGTTGGTGGCGCACACCTTTAATCCCAGCACTCAGGAGGCAGAGGCAGGCGGATCTCTGTGAGTTCGAGATCAGCCTGGACTACCAAGGGAGTTCCAGGACAGCCTCCAAAGCCACAGAGAAACCCTGTCTTGAAAAACCAAAAAAAAAAAAAAAAAAAAAAGAGTGGAGGAGGGTAGCGTAGAACCCCCAAGCAGGCATACACACCCAAGGACACGGGTTGAGGCACTCACAATCCGCTCAAACTCTTTGGCCTGTTCCAACTCTCTGGGGAAGCCATCGATGAGGAAGCCTCGACTCTTTGGACGAGCCAACAGGTTGTCGCAGACCATGTCCAGAATGAGTCCCTGAGAACAAAAGTGCACGGACTCAAGACCCAGTGCTCAGGACCTGTCATCCTGGAGAGGCCAGGGGACCTGTCACCCTGGAGAGGCCAGGTGCTGCAAAGGTCATTCAGTCTGGAGTTCACATGAGGCAGAAACAAAACCTCAATCACTGGCTTCCTCTAGGAGACTGGGTCTCTCTGTGCAGCCCTGGCTGTCTTAGAACTCATAGACCAGGCTGGCCTCGAACTCCCAGAGATATGACTGCTCTGCCTTCCAAATACTGGGATTAAAGGAGTGCAACACCACCTCTTAGAAATTTATTTACTCTTAGGCCGGGCAGTGGCGGCGCACGCCTTTAATCCCAGCACTCGGGAGGCAGAGGCAGGCGGATCTCTGTGAGTTCGAGGCTGGGCTGGACCGACAGCCTCCAAAACAATACAGAGAAACCCTGTCTCGTAAAAACCAAAAAAAAAAAAAAAAAAAAAAAGAAATTTGTTTTTGGCCAGCTAGTGGTGGTGCAGGACAGGCTCAAAAGCTACAGAGAAGCCTTGTCTCAAAAATGATTTTTTTTTAAAAAGTTAATTTTGTTGGGTAGTGGTGGCACATGCCTTTAATCCCAGCACTCTGGAGGGAAGTGGATCTCTGTGAGTTCCAAGCCAGCCTGGTCTACAGACTGAGTTCCAGGACAGCCAGGGCTACACAGAGAAACCCTGTCTTGAGGAAACAAACAAACAAAAGTTTCTTAGAGCTCTTTATTATTTTTCTAGTTCTGGGGTTGTACATGCGCCACACACGGCATGTGGCGGCAGAAGACAACATATGTTGGTTCTCTCCTATCACAAAGGCTGGGCATTCAGAAGGGCTTTCACCCATGGTGCCATCTCTCTGACCCGTGGCATGAACTCTCTGTGTGGTCACAGACACCACCATACTCATCTTCCTGAGTGCTGGGTGCCCAGTGTGTACCCGGTTTCTATGGTGCTGGGATGGCACCCAGGACTTGGTGCATTCTAGGTGAGCGCTCTACCAACGGACCTCCCCCGCAGGCTTCAGCAGGGCTTCTTTTGATAAGAGTTTTATTTGTATGAATGTTTGCCTACATGGATGTCTGTGCACGTATGCAAAGCCCTCAGAGCATAGAAGAGGGCATCAGGTCCCTTGGATGTGAGCCGCCATGTGGGTGCTGGGAACCAAACCCAGGCCCTGGGCCAAAGCAGCAGGTGCGGTTAACGGGCCCACTTCAGTCTTCTCTGGGAAGTGTCTGCTGACACTTCCCAGAGACACCCTGGCTTCCTGGGGACTCTGTGCTGCCTTGCCCCGCCCCCCTTCACTCTCACCGTGGGCACCAGGAGTCCCTGCTGCATGATGTCCCGGATCTTCCGGCCCCGCTGGGTGCTGCTCTGAGCCTCCTCCCGCAGCAGCTGGCCCAGCCCCACGTGGCAGAAGCCGTACTTGGTGGCCATGTTTCTGCACTGTGTCCCTTTCCCGCTGCCGGGGCCGCCCACCACGAAGATGATCAGGGGGGACTTCAGGACATCTGCGGTGTTCAGGGAAGACAGTGGGTACTAGTGCGTGTCTTTAGGGTGCCCTGGTCTCGAATCGAAGGATCCCAGTGCTGGGATTCTCTTGAGTCATTTGCACAGGCCTCCTTGGAGCACTCCAGTAATTCCATCAGCCCATTTCACAGACAATGAAAGGAGAGACCCTCAAGGTCCCCCAGCCGCACCCTGCTCAGCCCAGCATGCGGTGGTCCTGACTATCCTGCCTGCTTACGTCTATAGCTGTATCACTCCTGCCCCGCCTCAGACCCCCATGTCTTCCACAGTCAGCCATGGTTCTTTGTCCCTTTGCACTCGCTTTGGTCCCCCTAGCCAGCCTCAGTAACCCAGGGCGCATGGCCCTTGAGGGTGAAGAAATGAATGTCTCAGAGTCAGTAGTTTACGGTTCAAGGCTTGTGCCTCCCTCGTGCCTCTGCTTAACCAACTCCTGTGCATCCCTCAGGCCCCTTTCTCTGAAACCTTCCTCTGGGGTTGTTAATTGCCGTTTTCGGAGACTGGCCCCACCACGCGTCACCTCCCAAGGGGTGGGGAGAGGGCGCGCGCGCGCAGCTGCGTTCCTGCCGGGTTAGTAGTGTGCGCACCCCCGCAGGGTGGGGGACCTGCTCCCACGCCCCGTCCGTGACCCCTGTAAGCCAGCCACCCCACGACGTTACCCTTCTCCTGGGGCCTCAAATCTCTGCCCACCTGGGGCAGCGTGGACTCGCACAGACCCATCTCGCCCGCATGCCGGGGTACGCGGGGACCCGCTCCCCACCCGTCCCGACCCCTCGGCTCCGCTCTACGTCACAAGGGGCCCATTTTGCAAGATGCCGGGGACCCCGCAGGCCCGGGGACACAGAAAACGGAGTCCCAGGCTCGCCCCGAGAGTTCTCCCGCGGAGCCCGCCGCGGTTGCTGTGGCAACGCGGCCTCCGCGCCCGCTTCTTGAGCACGTTAGCGCATGCGCAAGAGTGCCGAGGACGCTCCGGCCAGAAGACGCCCTTCCCACCCTACCCAGGATGCACCGCGGCGCCGTGACGTCCCGAGGGGCGTGGCCACGCGCCGTGACTAAATCACTGGTGCTGGAGACGGACGGGAACTCGGGCTGGCGGTGGCGTGTCGTTCGGAGGCTGGAGACGACCCAAGCTGGTGCTGGGGCAGCTCCCATCCCGAGGTGGCAGTCCTAGGTCCGGGCCCGGCTGTGACGCACGCTCAGAGAGTCCGGTTTTCTGAGAACTAAGGGCTTGTGGATCCAAAACTCGGGATCGCACTAACGTGACACCCGGGCTAGCTGCCTTTCCCCGGACCGAGGGATACCCCGGAGAGCATCCGAGTCACGCCGACCCGGAACTGCTTGAGCAACGGCCATGGCGGCTCTAGTAAGTATGAATGAGGCGAGGATGGGGACTGGGGGTCGCAGGACAGACCCGCGGCCTCTCCTCGCCTCACACACCCGTGCTTCCTCTGCAGGGCCCCGGCAGCCAGAACGTCACCGAATATGTCGTCCGAGTCCCCAAGTAAGTCACGCACGCCACACTCTCCTCGGCCCTGTGGTCGTTCCCCCGCCAGACTGCTCCCCGTACAAGTCTCAGTGACAGCCACACCTCAGTTCATGTCAGGGTCGGTGACTTTGCCCAGACCTGGTAGCCGCCTTTAATCCCAGCACTCGGGAGGCAGAGGCAGGAGGATCTCTTGAGCTCGAGGCTAGCCTGGTCTACAGAGCGAGTGCCAGGACAGTCAAAGATACACTGAGAAACCCTGTCTCGAAAGAGAAAAAATTCCCCAAACTTAGATAAGTGCCAGGCAGGTGCTCCACCATTAAGCCATACCCAGCCCTGCTTTACTTTGAAGACAAGTCTCACTGTGTAGTGTAGTCCTAGCTGGCCTGACCAGGCTGGCCTTGACCCTACCAAGACCCACACATTCTTACCTGCTTGCTCTCCGCTTTTTCCCGAGACAGGCTCTCTCTGTGTAGCTTTGCAGCCTGTCCTGGAACTCACACTGTAGACCAGGCTGGTGCTGGGATTAAAGGCGCGCGCCACCACCGCCCAGCCGCCCACTTTTCCTTGCTTTTATTGTCTTTGTGTGTGTGAATGTTGTGTCGCATGTATGTGTATGCACTGTGAGCATGTCTGGTGCCTGTGGGCCTGGCTAGCTTCTGATAGGGTTGGAGCAGATGGATCCAGCTTCTTAAACAAACTGGGAAACTCTGGAGCAGTGCTTCTCATCCTGTGGCTGGCAACCACTTAGGTTCAACTGACCCTTTTACAGGAGTCGCCTAAGACCATTGGAAAACACAGATATTTACATTATGATTCATAACAGTAGCAAAATCAGAGTTATGAAGTAGCAATGAAAATAATTGTATAGTTGGGAATCACCCCAACATGAGGGACTGTTTTGAAGGGTGCAGCTTTAGGAAGGTTGAGAACCACTGCTCTGGAGCCTTTTATGAGTTAACTTACAGCCAGGGGTGTAATGGTGGGTTTGTTGAATAAAAAACCAATAGACTGAATTGAATTGTCTCTTGCCCATTCTAGGAACACAACCAAAAAGTACAACATAATGGCTTTTAATGCAGCTGATAAAGTCAACTTTGCTACCTGGAACCAGGTAAGTCTGTAATTCTGGGTGGCTGGGGCAGAGGCCTAACTGGGCTGGTGGTTGAAGTCATCACTTTCCTGAAATGATGGTGGCTATACCTACAACCCCAGCAGATGTGTGCTTCCGACAGTTTGGAGGCTGAGGTAGAAAGACAGAACGTTAGATTGGCCTGGCTACATAAATCCTGTCTCAAAAATTTTTTTTAAAAGCAAGCCTGGGTTGTAGCTGCTTGATAGAGTATCAGCTAGCATTTAGACCACGTAGGACCACCAGCAGCATGTATGCTGGGCTCGGTAGCACATGTCTATCATCCCAGCCCTGGAATGCAGTATAGGTTTTTTTTTGTTTGTTTGTTTTTCGAAACAGGGTTTCTCTGTATTTTGGAGGCTGCCCTGGAACTCACTCTGTAGACCAGGCTGGTCTCAAACTCACAGAGATCCGCCTGCCTCTGCCTCCCAAGTGCTGGGATTAAAGGTGTGCGCCACCAACGCCCAGCCGCAGTATAGGTTCTTAAATTGAAGACCATCCTTGGCTAAGCTAAATAGTGAGTTCAAGTTCAGACTAGTATACATGGACCACGCCTTAAAAAAGCCGGGTGGTGGTGGCGGCGGCGCACGCCTTTAATCCCAGCACTCGGGAGGCAGAGGCAGGCGGATCTCTGAGTTCGAGCCCAGCCTGGTCTACAGAGCGAGTTCCAGGACAGCTTCCAAAACCACAGAGAAACTCTGTCTTGAAAAAACAAAAACAAACAAGAAAATAAATAAGGAAATATTAAAGGCCAAAGTTTAGAACTGTCCAGCATTCTGAGTGCCATGTTAAAATGCTACTGTCTCCATATTGTCTGGGTTGTATCTGAGCTTTCTCCAGGTGGACACTGTCCGCCTTTAGTCTCTGTGGTCTTTCTAAGTTCCCTATTCCCTGGAGTCCTTTCTTTTTTTTTTTTTTTGGTTTTTCGAGACAGGGTTTCTCTGTGGCTTTGGAGGCTGTCGTCTTGGAACTCACTTTGTAGACCAGGCTGGCCTCGAACTCACAGAGATCCGCCTGCCTCTGCCTCCCAAGTGCTGGGATTAAAGGTGGGTGCCACCAACGCCCGGCTGGAGTCTTTTCTTTTCTTGTGTGACGTTTTGTGTATGCACATGCACTGTGCATGTCAAGGCCAGAGGTTGACAACAGGTGTCTTTAGTTACTTTGCACATTATTATTTCGATGACATATGCTGGGGCACAGATGAGTGTGTGACACAGCTTGGAGACCAGAGAACAGCTTTCAGGAGTCAGTTTTCACCTGCCTGGGTCTTGAACTCAAGTCTCAGGCTTGGCAGGCAGCACATCTCACTTCCCACAGCGTTTCTGAGTCAGGACATCTCTCTGATCCTGGGGCTTGCTGACCAGTGAGTTCCAGGGACCCTCCTGTCTGTCCCTCCCTCCCTGCTGGGGTCTCAGATGCATGTGGCCTTGCCCAGCTTTGTTCGTGGGCACTGGGGATCTAAACTCCCGTTCCTCATGCTGGGAGCATATGGAATCCAGCAGAGGAAGACAAGGGTGTTCCTGTGGGGTCTGAGAGGCCATGCCTGCTGCTCCCCCAGGCCCGGCTAGAGCGAGATCTGAGCAACAAGAAGATCTACCAGGAAGAGGAGATGCCAGAGTCCGGAGCAGGCAGTGAATTCAACCGAAAGCTCCGGGAGGAGGCCAGACGAAAGAAGTACGGCATCGTCCTGAAGGAGTTCCGGCCCGAGGACCAGCCCTGGCTACTCCGGGTCAACGGCAAATCGGGCAGGAAGTGAGTGATGCTGATGGTGGGGAGGGGCCTGCCTGCGTCCCTCACACATGCACACTTTGGGGGCATCTTCTCTGAATCTGTCCTAGCATGGGGAGGGTCCCAGTACCCCTTCCCTTACGGACGTGTGGTCTGAAGGAGAACCGGGTGTTGTTGACCAGTAGCCTGAGTATGGCCTTGAGGTGAGGTCCTAACACTTGGGACGACCCCTTGCGAGAGAGTAATCCATGGCAAAGGAGGTAGAGTCTGATGAAGCCAGTGACAAGTGTTCTGTGCACAGTGCCGTGGTGGCAGCCTTGTGGGTCATAGGTTGGGAGCAAGGCTCACGGGGCAGCATGGCCCGGATTCTGAAAGCAGCCTTGAGGATGGTGGCCACAGGTCACATGGTGACTGCGCGATGATTTGAGCTAAGGAGATGGTGGCCTGTGCCCTTCTGTCCTAGGCGTTCCTAGGAGAGCCCAAGTGGGTGCTGAGGAGGGGCGAGGCCCTGTGGGAAGGGTTGTGACCTGACGTAGGCTTTCCACAGGTTCAAGGGCATAAAGAAGGGCGGAGTGACAGAGAACACGGCCTACTACATCTTCACGCAGTGTGCCGATGGTGCCTTTGAGGCCTTCCCTGTGCAGAACTGGTACAATTTCACACCGCTGGCCCGACATCGCACACTCACTGCTGAGGAGGCCGAGGAGGAGTGGGAGAGGTGAGCCACGGGTCACGCTGCACACAGCCCTGCAGCAAGTCCGCCTGGTGCAGGCAGCTGGCTAGCCTGGGAGCCCAGAGAGGGCTGGCACCGCTATGGGCCCAGCCTCCTGACGCCGGCAGCTGCTTCAGTTCTTACCCGGGAGGTAGAGTCACGGTGGGGACTTGCTGGGACAGGGCACTAGGGAGGCCCAGCATAAGTGTCCAGAGAAGGCCGCTGGCCTTCATGTGATGTGTGTGCGTGTTCTGTACCTGCCTGGAAGCCTGGCCCAGTTATCAGAGGGCCAGGACCTCAGAGTCAAAAGCAGCCCCTCCCCCACAGTCTTACTCCAGACATGCATAGATGTGTCCACAACAGCTCCCTGTCCAGGGAGACCCCTGCTCTAAGTGACCCATGTGATGAATTAGTTGTTGGGGATGTGGTATGGGATAGTACTCTGCACACTGGCTACTCTAGCACCCAGAAGGCAGAACAAGAGGATCGGGAGTCGAAGTCCATTCTCTGCTGTACTAAATTTGAGTCCGCCGGGGTTATGAGAGATCTAGTCTCAAAACAACACAAAACTTTAATCCCAGCACTCGGGAGGCAGAGGCAGGAGGATCTCTGTGAGTTCAAGGCCAGTCTGGTCTACAGAGCAAATTCCAAGACATGCAGGACTACATAGAGAGACCCTGTTTCAAAAAACGAAATAAAAACACATAAAGGAATTTTAATTAGCTAACTAATGTGGACAGGTGGATTTACCTGGACCAGACCCTGAGCCTGGAGGAGCTAAGATGTGGGGCTCCCTAGATGCTGGGTTACACATGGACCGGGCATCTCAGGGCTCACCCTGTATGGTTTCAAGATTCCGGGATCTGAAATGGCCCAGGTGGCCTGGTCTGGCCCTTTCTTTTTTGTTATTGCTTGGTTGGCTGGCCGGCAGGACACGGGGCTGCCTAGAGCATGTGTGGGGTTCACTTTAATGACCCTGGGGGTCTTCCTGCCTTAGCCTCCCCACAGAGGTCATCCTGTCATGCCCACTTGAGTGGCCTGGTCACTGCCTTCCACCATCCTTACCCAAGCAGCTCCTTCGCTGTCCCCGTGCGCCCTGCCCTGCCCTGCTCCGCCCCTCCGTGCTTAGTCGCTGTCCCCTTGCGTGCACAGGAGGAACAAGGTCCTGAACCACTTCAGCATCATGCAGCAGCGGAGGCTCAAGGACCAGGACCAGGACGAAGACGAGGAGGGGAAGGAGAAGCGGAGCCGCAAGAAGCCCAGCGAGCTGCGCATCCATGACCTGGAGGACGACCTGGAAATGTCCTCCGATGCCAGTGATGCCAGTGGCGAGGAGGGTGAGCAGGGCAGGGCCACCAGAGAAGCTCAGGATACCTGGTCCCTCTAGAAATGAATGGCAGCTTAACGGAGTTTGAGTTTCCATGGGATGTTCCAAGTGTGCTGTGCTGCAGCATAGGCCTGGGTGACTGGTTGCCTTGCACAGGAGGGATAAGTGCCTAGGCTAGACCTCTGCTTTCTCTACAAATTGGCCTAACCTGGGGTGCAGTCTCCTTGTCAGGGTATAACATATGAAGACATACCGCAAATAGTGCATTGGCTGTGATCCCAGACCCCAGGCCTGAGGATCCAGAGTTCACACGTAGTCCTGCCTGGCTATATGGACTCCACTTTAAACAAAGAGCATGCCTTTTAATCCTAGCACTGGGAGGCAGAGGCAGGTGGATCTGAGTTCAAAGCTAGCCTGGCCTACAGGACAGCCAGGGCTATACAAAGAAACCCCCCAAAAAAGGGGGTTAGTCGGCTGGCTTAGGGGTAGAGAGCCCTTATGAAACCCTACACGGGCTGGAGAGATGGCTCAGAGGTTAAGAGCACTGGCTGCTCTTCCAGAGGTCCTGAGTTCAATTCCCAGCAACCACATGGTGGCTCACAACCATCTGTAATGAGATCTGGTGTCCTCTTCTGGCCTGCAGGGATACATGCAGACAGAACACTGTATACATAATAAATAAATCTTAATAAAATTAAAAAAAAGAAAAGAAACCCTACACAACACCGATACAAGGGTAGGGGCTGGCGGCATGGCTTGGGCCGAGCCCTACTGTCTGTGAGCAGTGCTCTGGGCTCATCAGCCTACCTTCCCTCCTATATCTTCTCTCGCTTCACAGAAGGCAGCAGAGCCTCTAAGACTAAAAAAAAGGCCCCACTGACCAAGGCGGGCAGGAAGAAGAAAAAGAAGAAGGGCTCAGATGATGAGGCCTTTGAGGACAGCGATGACGGGGACTTTGAGGGCCAGGAGGTGGACTACATGTCAGACGGCTCCAGGTGAGGCAGGCAGCCCGAGGCAGGCCTGGGGCAGGCCTGTGGTCATCCGTCTTCATGTTTGTCTTCTCTGCCCCACAGCAGCTCCCCAGATGAATCAGAGGGCAAACCCAAAGTGCCGAAGCAGGAGGCTGGCCCCAAGGGTAGGTGTCAGTTAGGACCAGCTGGGGGGGGTGGGAGTCCACTTGGCAGCCTTCCTGCTCATCCCTGCGTCCCCAGGTGTGGATGAGCACAGTGAGAGCAGTGAAGAGAGCGAGGAGGAGAAGCCCCCTGAGGAAGACAAGGAGGAGGAGGAGGAGAAGAAGGCCCCCACCCCACAGGAGAAGAAGCGCAGGAAAGGTGCGTGGGTGCTCGAGGCTGGGTGATGATGCCGCCGTGGCCTGCTCTCCTGGGCCTGCTCTCCTGGGCTGCTGCTGGTGGGGTGGACTCTGATTATGATGCCCCTCTGGCCCATGCAGACAGCAGCGATGAGTCAGACAGCTCAGAGGAGAGCGACATTGACAGTGAGACCTCCTCTGCACTCTTCATGGCGGTAAGGCAGATCCCCGGGCTGGGCTGGGGTGGAGTGGCAGTCTGAGTCTTCAGACTCACACCCTAGTCTTTGCAGAAGAAGAAGACACCCCCCAAGAGGGAGCGGAAACCATCAGGGGGTAGTTCTAAGGGTACCAGTCGACCAGGGACTCCTAGTACAGAAGCAGCAAGCACCTCTTCTACCCTGCGGGCTGCAGCCAGCAAGCTGGAGCAGGGTGAGCGCCTGGAGAGCCTGGCCAGGGCGGGGGAAATGAGACGCCATCTGCCCCCACCTCACCCCCAACATTACTCTTTCCACCAGGGAAGCGGACAGGTGAGACTCCAGCAGCCAAGCGCCTGCGGATGGACACGGCACCTCAGAGCCTGTCTGGGAAGTCCACACCCAGTGGCGGGTAGGTTCAGACCCAAGGAGGGGCCACAGGCAGGACTCAGCCACAAGGGACTCTGTGACCAGAGCTTCTTCCTCCCACAGTGACGTCCAGGTGACAGAGGACGCTGTACGCCGCTACCTGACTCGTAAGCCCATGACCACAAAGGACCTGCTGAAAAAGTTCCAGACCAAAAAGACGGGGCTGAGCAGCGAGCAGACCGTGAATGTGCTGGCGCAGATCCTCAAGCGCCTCAACCCCGAGCGCAAGATGATTGGGGACAAGATGCACTTCTCCCTCAAAGAGTAGTGCTAATAAAGAGAGTAAACCCAGAGTGTGAGCGAGTTCTCATTGTCACCGCGGCCCTCCTCCTGGGGCCCTGAGGCTCCGTTTTTATAGGACACAGCCTTCCTGCCCACTGAGCTTGTCCCCTGTGCAATCTTCATGAGTTCAGTTTCACTTGTAGAGGCTCTGCCCTGACCAGTCCCCGAGCCCCTTCCTTGTGTCATGTGTCCTATGGGTTTATGGTGGCCTTTGTCTGGGAATGCTCAGCTTCCAGCAGTCCTTCAGGAGTGCAGGCTTGGGATTCACTGCAGCAGCAATGAAATGGTGGGACTCAGACTTCTACTCCAGCACTCTTCAGTGAGCTACACACCCAGTCCTCTTACTGTTGTAGCTAAGGCTGGCCTGGAACTCCTGATCCTCCCACCTCTACTTCTGGAGTGCTGGGATCACTGGCAGGCATGCCTCTTGTCTTTTGAGAAACAGTCTTGCTGTGTAGCCCAGGCTTCCTGGGAACTCAATTTCCCAAATGCTAAGATGACAGTCATGTCCTCTGCACACAGCCCAGGCCACTTAGTTGGCTCAGGTACTTCCCTTCATGGCTACTGGAATCCAACTCTATTCCTGGTGTTGGCACCTGGATGCTGTTTTCCACTTCCAAGTGACATTCCTGGGGTCCCCCTTATCTCCTGACAGGCCCAGTGATATATCTTCTGCAGACTAGCCAAGCGGGCGTTGCTCGGGGAGACTGCTTTACATTCCTGGGTGGTGACATGGTTGCTTGGTCCTTGGCCTCAGCTGCTACCTTGAAAGCTGGGTTCTGAGCAGCCTGGGTACAGGGAGGGCTTCCCCTCACTGGCAGCTGGACACCAGTGGAAACCCACTCCTACTTCTGCCGCCCCTAGCTCGTGGTTGGAATGGCTGCTTTAAAAAAGGGGGTTAATCACCGGGCGGTGGTGGCGCACACCTTTAATCCCAGCACTTGGGAGGTGAAGGCAGGCAGGCCTCTGAGTTTGAGACCAGCCTGATCCTGGTCTACAAGAGCTAGTTCCAGGACAGCCTCCAAAGTTACAGAGAAACCCTGTCTCAACAATAACAACAAAAAAGGGGGGGGGGTTAATCCCTAGGAATGTCCCTGCTCACTGAACCTCCCTGTCCCACTATCTGCTGGCCCTTTGGAAACCTGGGCCTAAAGTGATATCCACCCTTGGGCAGGCAGAGTATGCATAGCCTTGTGGTTAGGGGCAGAGCTTTGTGTTCAGGGGACCTATTTCAAATTTAATTCTGCATGATAACAAGTGACTTGGTTTTTGAAAACCATTGTTTGCCGGGCATTGGTGGCGCACGCCTTTAATCCCAGCACTCGGGAGGCAGAGGCAGGCGGATCTCTGTGAGTTCGAGGCCAGCCTGGTCTACAGAGCGAGTTCCAGGACAGCCTCCAAAACAATACAGAGAAACCCTGTCTCAAAAACCAAAAAAATAAATAAATAAATAAATAAATAAATAAATAAATAAATAAAATCATTGTTTTTGTTTCTTTTCCTTTTGAGATGGTGTCATGTAGTCCAGGCTGGCCTTGAACTAGTGATCCTCCTGCCTCAGCCTCCCCAGTGCTGGCTGACATCACAGGCACACACCATCATGTCATTTTATGCTGTGCTTTGGATGGAACCAGGACTTTGTACATGTTCAGCAAGCATTCTACAAACTCAGCTCTAGCTGTGTGTGTGTGTGTTTCTGTGTGCACCTGTGCGCAAGTGTGTGTTGGACCTGTGTGGCATGTGCATGCCAACACACGCATGTAATGATCAGAGAACAACTCTAGTCACTTCTACCATGTGGATTCTGCAACTCACTCAGGCCACCTGGGGGTGGCAAGGGCTTTACCCTGCCGAGTTCTCACCACTGCTTACTGTTTTGAGATGGTCTCACTCTAGCTTATGCTGGCCACAACCTGCAGCCCTGGCATCCTGAACACCAGGGTGACCAGGAATGAGCAGTGTGCATCAATTTTATTCCTTTGCCTCCCAAGTCCTTGGTCTTCTTATGGGTTCAGAAGCTGGCAGAACATGGTCCTTGGGAATTGATGGGATCCAGCAAACTCCAGCCTCCCTTTGGGTTCTGATGCTCCAAAGCCCAGGTTGGCTATAGCTGTGACTTTTCAAGTTGGCCTTCCAAGAACGGGAGTCCCAGCCCTTGGCTATTGCCTAGACTCCCGTTTCCTGTTTTGATCCTGGCTCAGCCAAGCCCGGAGACAGGGGTAGGATGTCTTAATCCTGGCTGAAGGCGAGATGGACGCATGCCCACTGACTCTTCCATCAAGGGACCCTTCCCAGTCTCTACTGGCCCTCTATACACTCTGGTATAAGACCTACAATAGGCCCCTCTCAGTCTATGAACTTCCCACCAAAAGCAGGTGGGGTGGGGCCAGCTCTGGGCTTGCTTCTGGCTGACAGTAGGACACTCATAAATCAGGGGCATCAGCAATGGGTCTATGGAATGTCTGGGTGGGTGAGCCATCAATTCTTAGGGGTGAGGACGTGGGGACAAGGCGGGTGGAACCCCAGTGGCTTCCCCGGGCCATGATGCTGGCAGTGAATTTAATCCCCAGGACAGGCAGAGGATAAATTGAGGACACCAGGGTCGCTCAGCATCCTGGGACCTCCCTGTCACGATGGCTGCAGGAAGACTAGCACGCATGTTTCTGCTGCTCCTGTCCCTGCACCTGGGCCTCGGCTGGGACCGTGATCCTCACGGGGATCCAGTGGCAGAAAATGAGATGTCATCTGAGGAGATGGCAGACCTCGGAGGGACCCGGAAGCCCCATCAGGGTAAGAATTCCTGGCGGCACCTCATGCCTCCCCAGTTCCTTTTCTTAAAGCCCTCATCTCGCCTCATATTTCTGTTCTACCCTGCACTAGGTAACAACCATGTCCGCCTTCCAAGAGCCCTGGCTGGTCCGTGCCAGCTGTGGAGTCTGACCCTGCCGGTGGCCGAGCTGGGCCTGGGCTACACCTCAGAGGAGAAGGTCATCTTCCGATACTGTGCTGGCAGCTGTCCCCGAGAGGCCCACACCCAGCACAGCCTGGTGCTGGCCCGGCTGCGCGGGCTGGGGCGAGCCCGGGGACGACCCTGCTGCCAGCCCACCAGCTATGCTGATGTGACCTTCCTCGATGATCGTCACCGTTGGCAGCAGCTGCCTCAGCTCTCGGCTGCTGCCTGTGGCTGTGGTGGCTGAAGGCGGCCAGCTCTGTGTCTCAGAATCACAAGCATGAGGCAACCTAACCTGGGCTTTGACGGGTTGGGGTGACCTTTACTAGAACTTGGCACAGGTGAAGATGAGAAGGAAGAGGACCTGGAATTGGGCATCAGTAATCAATGCAATAAATGTTCTAATGGCCTTAGGAGTGTGTGTGATGGGGTACACCCTGGCAGCCACCAGGCTATGTGGGATCTGAAACCTGTCTCTTGAGGGTCCTAGACCTGGCAGATAGTAATTTGAAGATGCCCAGAACATTCTTTTTCCAACTTTATTCACAAGTCCAGAGGATAGGTGTAGAGGTCAGCAGGCTGGAGGTGGCTCTCCCGGCCTTCCTGGCCCCATGCTCTCAGGGAGGGAGCGGCAAATCACTGAGATGCGCCGGCCCCGGGGGACCCGGCGCTCCCCAAAAAACGATTCTTCATCTCGAAGGATCTCGTGGGAGAAGTCATATCGGGCTGAACCCCTGCAAAGAGACAGGCTGAGTGGGGCGGGTGGAGGGAAATCTGGTCCCTTTGGCGTGTTTACTTTTTCTGAGTGGTGGTGGCAGCTTCCTCTGTTGTGAGAGCACAAACAAGTGTTTGAAGCTCTTGGCCTCATCTGGGGGCTTCCCAGCAAGGCATTACCTTAAAATATAGAGGGAGCCCGGCTCCAGCAACAGCTCCAGCCACTGCTCAGGCTCCTGGGTGTGCACCAGCTTCATAACACTTGGGGACAACAAGGAAAGGCCAGCGATGGTAGATCCACAGAACTGGAAGAGGGGTACAGTGTTCGTGTGGGGGGGGATGCCAGGCTCAGATCTGCCCTCCTGCCCACTCTGAGGGACTTCCTTCTGCCCACCTTGACACTGTCAACATGGGGCTTGATGTAGCCCCGAGGTTCCAGGTCTAACACGTGGACCAAGGACAGCAGGGTCTGGTCAGGGCCAAAGGCAGCAGCCTGGACGCGCTGCAGGATGGCCTGGCTTGCATCAGACCAGCGGGATTTCTCCGTCTCCCTGAAGCCATGGATAGCCTACACGGAGAGCTCAGGTCATGACTGGGAACTTCCAGGACAGGGAAATGAGGCACCGAGGGCAGTCCAGGGGCAGGCAGTTTTCCAGTTTTGTTTTGTTTTTTGGTTTTTCGAGACAGGGTTTCTCTGTGGCTTTGGAGGCTGTCCTGGAACTCGCTTGGTAGTCCAGGCTGGTCTCGAACTCACAGAGATCCGCCTGCCTCTGCCTCCCCAGTGCTGGGATTAAAGGCGTGCTCCACCAACGCCCGGCCCAGTTTTCCAGTTTTAACTCACAATCCCGCCTTTAAGTTGGCTCAATGAGGTCTTAAAACCCCGCATGTGGCCTCCAGGTTCTGATTTCCAGTCCCTGGTGCTGGTCACCATAGTATTCAGTGTCTCAGTCTTCGGGCTCAACTCAACCCCTCTCGAGACCCTATTGAGACCCCAACTGCTGGCACACCCTCATTCGAGTCTTTCTACCTTGTCAACGCCCCTCGGCTGCACGTCAAGTGATCGTGACCTTGCCTCCATTCCTTGGTGCCCACCAAGGTCCTCCCTTCTGATTGCAAGCCTACGAGTGAATACTACACTGCTCTAGCCCCTTGAGCTCAACCCTCCGGGTTCACCTTCCCCGGCACTAACTAGGTCCCACCCACAGCTCCCCAGCTGCAGGCCTTTCCCTGTTCTCAGCTCTGGCATCAAGATCAGCTCTCGGGACGTCCCTCCCGAGCCACCCAGCACCCACCGCGTCCCACACCACAGCAGCTGGTCGCCTGCTGCCGCTGGAGCCGGGTGCCCAATCCCACCCGAACCAGACTATCTCAGCTCAAAACACACCGCCTCCAGGCTGGCCGAGCCCCGCCCCGGCCCCGCCCACTCACCGCGTCCCAGTGGTCGTACTCGTACCGCCGGCGCCGCAGCTGGGGCTCCAGTTCGCGTGTCAGCGTGTCCTCCTCCGCCTGGCTCAGAAAGCCCGGCCGCACCACGGCCTCATCGCGCAGGCGACTCAGCACGGCGGGGTCAGAGCCGCGAATGCAGCCGCACTTAGCAAGCGTCCGCACCGCCAGCCGCCCGCCGCCCGCCATCTTCCGGCGACCGCTTAAGGCCAGGCCACGGCCCCGCCCGCCATTGGCCGGAGCCCTGCTCTGAGCCCGCCTTCTACCGCGCGCCATTGGACACGAGCACGCACTCATCCTATTAGCTGTGCCCCAAGCCCGTCTAGTGTTGGTCCCGCCTCTGGGCCCTGATTTGATCTCTCAGGTGCTCAATCTGGGCTAACCCAGGTTCGGGGTCATGTGGGGTAAGATCAAGGTTAGAGGTTCGACCAGTGTGACAGCGCAGGCCCGTTGCCTGCCAACCAGCACAACATGGTGGAGCGAGGGGTTGACAGCTTCAAGGTCAGCCTTGGCTATACCCTTGAGTTTGAGGCCAGCCTGAGCTACAGGAGATACTGTCCCAAAATAAAAGATGTCTAAACAGATAAGACCCATTAATACAAACCACACCTCAAGTGTTCTGAATTAAAAAGCCAAAAAGCTGTCTACTGCCACACTACCCTAATAACAACATCTGGGCCCACGAAGACGGCTCAACAGGTAAACGCACGTGCCACCGAGCCTGGTAGCTTTGGTTTGATCCCTGGGACCCACAAACACAGTGGAAACAGGGAAGCCACTCTTGCAAGTCACCCACTGGCTTCAGGGACACTGGCACCTGCCACCTCTCCCACAAATAAACTGGGCCCATTTCCCTTTTTAGCTACATCTCCATTTTTAGTTAAAAAATATCCACAAGTTTCCCCTACCATTCTTTCTGGCTCCAGCCTGCTTTTGGACCCTACAGCAAAATGCCAGGTCTCCTGGGTCTAACCGTCAACCCAAAGCTGCTGGTGGACCTCCAGCCAGTGACACTGCCTAACCCTCCAGGGTGCCAACACCCTCTTCCATCACCGGGGAAAACCCACATCATCAAAAGGAAATGCATAAAACCATAGTTCTATCTGCTGGCTTTGGGCTAGCATATGGCTTAAAAGTTTGCTAATAGCCAGACATAGTGGAACACACCTTTAATCCCAGCACTCCAGAGGCAGAGGCAGGGGGATCTCTGAGTTTGTGATCAGCCTGATCTACAGAGTGAGTTCCAGGTCAGCCATGGCTACACAGAGAAACCCTGTCTCAAAACAAACAAAACAGAAAGAAGTGGTTTGTCAAGGAGTAGAGTGAGAGGGGCTTGGTAAGGATGTAACCGATGTAACCGCAGGTGCCTCAGACATGGGACAAGGACCACAAAGGTTTAATTTAAAGTCACAGTGTCTCAGGCAGGAGGGCAGCCTCAATCCACATCTTCTCCAGGGATACCTCTGGGCTCAGCAGAGGAAGTGTGGGCAGTCCTGGGTCTCCACACTTCTGGAGATGAGGTCAGACCCTAGGTGCTCGCTGGGGCAGGAGGATCGGCAGACGCTGGGGGAGTCTCCTTCTGTACCAGTTCCGGCTCATCCTCGCCGTCCTGAGGTGGGTGGACCAGGACCTTGTCCAAGATGCCAAATTCCTGGGCCTCCATGGGGCTCATGTAGCGGTCCCTCTCCATGGCTGACTCTGGAGGCCGAGGGAGCAGTACACAGGTAAGAACAGAGACCTGGGATGCTTTCCCCCATTCCTAAATTAGCAGCAGGATGGCTTACGGAGTTGTGAGGATGGGACCCTGACCATGGGATCTGTGCCCTAATTAAGAGAAAACCATTTGACAGGCTGGAGCAGACGGATCTAAAGTTCAAGGTCAGCCAGGGCTACATACCAAGATCAAGTATAAAACAAAACAAAGCCGGGCATTGGTGGTTGCACGCCTTTACCAGCACTCGGGAAGCAGAGGCAGGCGGATCTCTTTGAGTTTGAGACCAGCCTGGTCTACAGAGGGAGTTCCAGGACAGCCTCCAAGGCTACAGAGAAACCCTGTCTTGGAAAAAAAAAAGAAAGAGTTCAATTGTTCAATTGGTAGTCACTGGCCTAGCCTGCACTGCGCCGTGGTTCCAATCCCAGAACCACCTGTCATTCTGGCAAAGCAAAGGTGCAGCCGTTAGGCTCAGGAGCTGAAGGTCAAAGGTCACCTTCCAGGCACCAGGTATTCCTGACCTTCCCAGCATTTTTGCTTCCAGCCCATGATTCATTCCAGCTCCCCGAGTTACACAAGACGCAAGCTCATTCTATTCTTTTCTTTGTTTTGTTTTTTCAACACAGGGTTTCTCTGTATTGTTTTAGAGGCTGTTCTGGAACTCAATCTGTAGACCAGGCTGGCCTAGAACTCACAGAGATCCAAGTGCTGGGATTAAAGGTGTGGGCCACCAATGCCCAGGCGACACAAGCTCATTTTGACACTTCTTCCCTGTGGGGCTTGGAACTCTGTGTCTCAGTTTCCCCAGCAGTAAGAAATACATTTCTTGCCTGCTGGTGGTAGAGGCGGCAGCGGCGGCACACACCTTTAATCCCAGCACCAGGGAGGCAGAAGCAGGTGGACCTCTGTGAATTGCAGGTCAGCCTGGTCTACACAGTAAGTTCCAGGACAGCCAGGGCTGTTTCATAGAGAAACCCTGAATTAAAAAAAAAAAGGCATTTCTTTTTTTCAAGCAGGCTCCCACATAGCCCAGGCTGGCCACAAAGGGATGACTCCTGATTCTTCTGCCTGCACCTGCCAAGTGCTGGGAAGACAGGTGTGCACCACCATGCCACACTGACTTAGTTTTTACCGACTACTCAAATACAGTGAGGTCCCAGGATCCACACGGCAAAGAAAGTCATCTCCTGAATGTTATCCTCTGACCTCTACATGTCCTAGTACACACATGTTCACACACACCAATAAAATACTCCCAGGTGGCCGGGCGTTGGTGGCGCACGCCTTTAATCAGCATTGGAAGGGGCCACAGTCACAGAGCATTTGTAGGTTAGTGATCCCACTGAACACCCAAAGTGTCTAGGTGACCCCACTACAGTAATGTGGCGCTGAGTGTCCAGACGGGGAAGCCTGGTTTAGGACAATGCTGATGCACTCACCAATCACCTGCAGGGTCTGCTTGGTGTGTTTGGCATAGATGTTGTACAGCTGCCTTTTCAGCTTCATGATCTCCTCTGCCTGGATGGCGATGTCTGTGGCTTGGCCCTGAGGAGCAAGCAGTAAATTGAGGAGGAAGATGAAGTCTAGAACTGGAGGAGCTCCCCACCGGATGC